CAGAACTCTTCAAGAGATCAGGAAGAAAATTAGGCAAAACGTAGAACATACAATAGAGGAAATTAAAAAGATTAGAGAAGAGCATAATGACAAATTTAACAGGCTGCAAGAATCCATAGAGACACAGCAATCAGAAATCCAGAAGATTAACAATAAAACTTCAGAATTAGCAACTCAATAGAAAGTCATAGGAGCAGAATTGAGGCAATGGAAGTCAGAATTAGTGAGATTGAAGATAAAGCACTTGACACCAACTCATTTGATGAAAAATCAGATAAAAGGATTTAAAAAAATGAAGAAACCCTAAGAATTATGTGGGATTCTATCAAGAGGAATGACCTACCAGTGATTGGAGTACCAGAACAGGGGGAGATAACAGAAAATACAGAGAGAATTGTTGAAGATTTGTCGGCAGAAAACCTCCCTGATATCATGAAAGATGAGAAGATATCTATCCAAGATGCTCATTGAACCCCACATAAGGTAGATCCCAAAAGAAAGTCACCAAGACATTATAAAGCAGCACAAGAGCTCTCTATCCCCGTACCCTGCTTGATTTTTTCTTCGCACCACTTCTCCCTGACATACTATATGCTCATTTGTTTACTATCCATCTATCTTCTTCATTGGCATTCCTAGGTGATGTAAATTGTTAAGTTCTGGGCTACTAATCAAAAAGTTGGTGGTTTGAATCCACCCAGAGGTGCCTCAGAAGAAAGGCATGGCAATCTACTTCTGAAAAATCAGCCACTGAAAACCCTGTGGAGCACCGTTCTAGTCTGACACACATGGGGTTGGTTGCCATGAGCTGAAATTGACTCACTGGCAACTGGGTTTTAAGTATCTTCATTAGAACGTAAGTTCCGTAAGAGCAGAGACTTTGTATATCTTGCTTATCTGTGAACTCCCAGTGCCAAGAACAGCTTCTGGCAAATATCAGGCATCCCATAAATATTTATCAAATAAATAAATGAATGAATGAATGACATTTTCAAACCAGCATGCAACTCTTCAGTAAGAGGGTCGTATAGTCCAATTTGGGGCAAACAAAATATATTCTGCTACAGCTGGTGCCTGGACAAGGGCTGGTGAGGAACTGGATAGGATGGTGAAGCCTGAGGTGTCTAAGCATGTCACCAGTGGGCCTATTTGCTTAAGGTCCTGGGAGGGAAAAAGAAGATGGGGCTCATAGGCTCATGGGATACTGTAATTCACAACCCCAAATGAAGAAGAGTTGAAATTACTGTTCCTATTGAGGGGGGGAGAGGGAGCTGGACAGATGGGACAGAAGCAAAAGGCGTGTGCCTCACCTTGGGCTCTGGCTGACTATTGGCAAAGGATGCTTTTCCCCACTATGGTGGCCTGGTTTTGAGTCATCTCAGTGAAGGAGATAGTTAAATTTAGGCTCCAGTAGAGTTTAAAGAATTCAAAACCACTAGTGTAAAGGAAAAATATCTTGAATGTCCCTTGTGGGAGAAGGCAACAGCAAGCATGGGTACTGCAGAAGAGATGAGGGGCATGCAGGGAACCAGTCCCCTCACAGGCACGGCTTTGCAACAAGCAGCCAGAGCTATAAGCACCAACACAGGCAGCCGCAGCAAAGGCAGCACCCAATGATTCATGGAAAACAGCAGCAACTGAGGACTGACACCCACCAGGGACCCACAGAGGAAGGAATCTCTGAAGGGCTAGGCTTCCAGGACAACTGCGAGGTGAGCTGGCGTTCACCACTCCCTCAGATTGGCTAAGGATGGGGAGTCCTGGGGAAATTTGCAATTGAGAAACCAGAAACCCAAATTATCCTTGGAGAAGCCACATGTCTTTGAGGGCTGACACTTGAAAAACTTCAAACTCTCTGATCTAAGCTTCGGTTTGAGGTCTTCTGGTCACTCAGAGTGTATTTGGATGCCTGAGGCTACTGTGATCAAAGAAGGGAGGATCCATTTATGGATGTGGTGTGGGCTCCATGACCCTGCCCCTCCCCTAAATCACATATGCCATTCAGGGTTGGCCAAGGGCCCTTCTCCCCGAGGGACTGCCTGTGATCCCTCTCCACCAAAGCCCCACTTCTTTCTATAGTGATAGTCCCACCAGCACTGATTGGCTGAATTACTCTCCCAGGTCTGAAAAAAGAGATCTTGTAACTCTGAATCACAGTAATCTGTTTGGCAAGAAGATCCACCAGGAGCTCTGAAGTATGGTACCCCATGAATAATAATACCTAACACTTATTGAGCACTTACTGTATGTTAGGCATTTCTACCTGCTTTATATAAATTATGACATTTCTATGGAGTAAGTATTATTATTTTTTTTATCCCTATTTTAGAGATGAGGAGGTCAAGACTTAGAGGGGTTGGATAATTTTCTAGAGCTCACACAGCAAGGCACAGAAGTCTTAATCACTATCCTACACTAACCTCTCTTTTCTTGGAGCAGGTGGTTTCTCTTTTCTAAAGGAGTATCCCACTGCCCTTTTCATGCTTGGAGGTGAGGAAGGGGCACAGAAGTTAGGAGAACAGAGTAAAGACCTCTGGATGAGGTCAGAGCAAGGTTACTGCTGCCTGTGTCTCATGGATGACTATGCCAGCAGTACTCAGAAAACATCCAAGTCCTCTGTTGTAGTGAAACTGCAGATGCACCATGCAGATGTTCCTTGAAATAAAGACTTATCGTCCCAGCTGTCAGCTCCTTCAGGCTTTGCCTCAGCTGCAGACAGCTGCCTGGCTCAAGGTCTTGCTCTTCCCAGAGTGGTAAACGTCCAATGACTTAGGGTGACAAGGGTATCATAGCCCAGCCACTTCAGGCCATTCCAACCTAATGCAGGATTACTTTAAGAGGCTGAAACTTTGTCAGGCCTGCACTGCAGTTTACTCCTTCCAGTCCTCTGTCTCCTTCCTTCCAGAAGTGTGGATCCCTAATAACTACCTTGCATCCCAAACTCTGTCTCAACATCTGTTTCTGGAGAACCCAACCTGCAGCACCTGTGCATCAGGGTAGACCCACTCCTGGCCAACCTCCCTGGGAGGGAAGTTGATCAGAATTCACCTGGTTATCCAAAGAACTCTTGTTCTCTAACTAGAATGGCTAACTCTGCATCCTAACTTTTTCAGTACCATGACCTCCAAGAAATTATATTTGTGCAGTTCATTGAAAGAAATGAAGGAGGCTACTTAGGCTAGGAGGATTGGTCTAGAGTCTCTGGCTGCTCCAGACACTGACTGGTTGCACTGTGGGACGAGGGTATACATGTAACTCATTTGGAACACACTGGGTAGGAAGTTCCAGGTCAACCTAAAAGACCATAATGCTTTAAAGAGTGTGGTTTAAAAAAAGCATACACAAACATACACTCACTAAATGGCCTTGATTATGTAGATTAAAGACTTAATTGTAAAAGGCAAAATTATAAAACTTTTGATAGAAGAATATCTTTATGATCTCAGGAGAGGGAAGGATTTCTTAAATAAAACATACAAAAGAGCAAACTATAAAGGAGAAGACTGATCACTGCACCTGCATAAAAATTAAGAACTTCTATTCATCAAAAGACACCGTGAAGAGACTAAAAAGACAAATCACACACTGTGATAAGATATTAACGATAATATAATAATAATATTAGCAAAATATTCACATTCAGAACATATAAAGAATTCCAACGGATCAATCAGAAAAGTCTAGCAATCCAGTAGAAAAAAGAGCAAAAGACATGAACAGGCTTTTCATAGTAAATAGAAATGGCTATAAACATATGAAAAGATCCTCAGCCTTATTAGTAACCAGGGAAATACAAATATCCATCATTTGCAAGGAAAAATGAATGAGCTACAGGTACTCATATCAACATAGATGAATCTTAAAAACCTGATGTTAGTGAACAAAGCAAATTACGGAAGAATATATGTTTGATTCTATTTTTGAAAACAGGAAAAACTAAGTAATGCCAAGGACAAAACTATCAAGAAGAACAAGGAAAGAGTTAACATCAAATTCAGGATATATTTTCGGAAAGGCAGGGAGTTGCAATCACAGAGTAGCGTTGAGGGGTCATTAAACATGCTGATAATAGTCTACTTCAGGGGTAGGTGGCCCATGAACCAAATTCTGTTCACCACCATTTTTGTACAGTCTGTGAGCCAAGGTGGTTTTTACATTTTTAAATGGTTGAAGAAAAAAACTGAAAGAAGAGTAGTATTTTGTGATATGTGAAAATCATACAAAATTCAAATTTTAGTGTTCATAAATAAAGATTTATTGGAACACAGCCATGTCCAATTGTTTATGTATTGTCCGCCCCCACCCCCACCCCATCTTTCCCCTGTCGGAAGACAATTCTCCATGGGTCCCTTATCTTTCTGCATGTCTTGTGAGCAGAGGCACTAACTGCCTTTGTTCTGGACTATGTTTTCAAGGATGTTTGTATAGTGAGCAGCCTTGGCAGATGTAGTATCTCCCTCCAGAGCAAAAGGCAGGCATGCTCACTGCCAATTATAAATGTTTCAGGTTCCCCAATCTCAGGGTTCCTCTTTTGTAACACAACCCACAGCATGAGCAGGTGCTATCTGGCTCTATTCATATCACCTTGTGAGAATCGGGGCTCAGGGAGCTAGCGTAAGAAAATGCTTGATGCTCTGGCTACTGCTAGTACTGTGAGTAATCATCTGTCCTTTGTTTCTGACCCAGGAGTCTCATGTTTTCTACCAGCATCCATGAAACTGTGGCAGGGTAAAATCTCAGACCATTCACAGTTCTTGACATGCCTTCCCCCGCCCTGTTTACAGATGAGAAAACTGAGGCCCAGTGAAGGGAACTGACTGGCCCAAGGTCACCCACTGATGAACAGCAGCAGTTGCACAAGATCTCATTTTTTCCCAACTCCCAGTCCAGTACTCATTCCCTGCCTCCAGGCAGCTTCTCCGGACCTCTCCAGGCCTCTGTAGGGCCTTAGGACTCTACCTTGCTCCCTGTTGGGCCTCCCAGATACACTTTGTCCTTACCTCTCATGCTACATCTGAAGGTTTGACTGACCACTCCGGTATTATTCTCCTTCTCTGCTGGCCACTGATAGACGTAGACTGTTGTTCTGGAAGATCCAGCATCCAGCACGATTCCATACTGAACAAAAAGAGGAAGGAAGAGTCAAAAATGGGCTAGGCTCAAAGCAGCCTGGGCAGCCAGACCTCCCTGAGGATCCTTTCTCCAGCTGGCCACAGGGAACCCCGAATACCTTTGGGAGCTTAATCCACATTCCTTCACTTAGGTAGGGCTGGCCGAAAGAAGAAAACTATTTTCTCTAAACTACCTTTGTCTCCTTGGACTGTGGGGGAAGGGGATGGAGTAAGGCAGGTCAGATGTTCTAGGGCATGGTTCTCAGCCTTGGCCACACATTAGAATCATCTGAGGAGCTTTAAAAACTCCCAATGCCAAGGATGAACCTCTGACCAACTAAATCAGAATATCTGGGAGTGGACTCAGGCATCAATTTTTTTTTTTTAAAGCTTCCAATGTACAGCCAAGGTTGAGAATTAGTACGCCAAGGATCTTGCATACAAAGATTGGTCCCCTGATTCCCCGTCATCCTGACTCCTGAGGTGGGGGACAGAAGCCACGTGGGTCTCAGAAGGGAAATGAATGGTCAGTCACCTGGCTGTCCTCTAGTTTTTGTCAAACTTCCAGGCTTATCAGCTTGGGACTAAACAATCAAAAGGAAACTACAGTAGGAAGTTCTCACAAGAGAGAGACATTTTAATATCTGCATCAGCCCTCAGAATTACAGCATTTGTATCAAGGAGGAAAAAAAACAAAACAATATTGGGTAGTTGGTGTCACTGAATTGTACACATGTAAAATGTTGAATCGGCAAATGTTGTGTTATCTATATTTTTACAACGGTAAAATAATAATAATAATATTGACATATTGCTCCCACTTTAGTAAAATGTATGTGAACAAATAGTCAGGAAGGTGTTGACTGCACAGCAAAAAAGACTGAGAGTCTTGAACTGTCTTGCCCAGCTTGAGGCAGGCACCAGAGAGCTTCGCCTGAAGGTTTGGCCCCGCCCAGCACTGGACCATATCCCACCAGGAAAGAGCATGTATGAGCAGCCTGTGGGGACTTGACTCAGCAACGCTGACCCAAGGCCAGCATCTGGTTGTGCCTAGAATCAGCCAAAGGGAGTTAGAAGTTTTTTGGATGGTAGCCTTTCCCTCATTCTGCCACCACTGGGTTAGCTTAGCTTATACCAGGGAAGACGAAGGTGGGTTCTAGAGGCAGGCTGACTGGGATGCATTCTCACCTTCGCAACCAGGTAAGATGCCTCACCTCTTTGGGTTCTCTCCACTTTGGAAAGTTTATTTTCAGAAGTAAATAGACTATATGCCTGGCACTTAGTGGATGTTCAATAAGTACAGGCTATGGAGCCCTGGTGGCACAGTGGTTAAGAGCTTGGCTGCTAACCAAAAAGTCAGCAGTTCGAATCCACCAACCGCTCTTTGGAAACCCTATGGGGCAGTTCTACTCTGTCCTACACAGTCGCTATAAGTCAGAATCAACTCAAAGTCAACAGGTTTTTGTTTTTTTTTTAACCACATAGAGAAAAACCAGTCAAACTAAATAGACAAAAAAGCAAGCAATAGAAAACAAGGAAAAAAAGTGAAAAACACACCTCAAATCCCACTATTGTCTTAACACCTCGTTATACATCTTTCCAAATGGCCTTCTGTGTGTATACGTACATGCATACACGTGTTTAGATATGTATCTTCAAGTCAACATAGGACGATACTATACATTGTCTATTTTTTTAAATTGCAGTAAAAATAGAACATTTGCCAAATAAACAAATTTTACATGTACAATTCAGTGACATTGATGACACTCATCCTGTTGTGTAACCATTACCACTATCTTTTTCCAAGTATTTCACCATCCTTAACAGGAACTCAGTGTTCCCTTGTACCTAGTCTTTTCAATGCTCTTTTCTTATTTAACAATATATCATGAACATCTTTCCCTGCTAGTAAAATAGATTTATATCACCACTTTCAATACTTCATTACATCCAGTGTGAGACATAGAATAATTTATTTAACAAATTCCTTGATTCTAGGCGTGTCAGAGGTTTCCAACTTTCTACTATTACAAATTACAAATACTTATTTCATTTGAAATGGGATCAAGCCAAACTAAAAAAAAAAAGTTGCTCCAGCCCCTGAATCACAGCTTCTCCATTATGTTGAGATAAAACACCCTGTGTACACTGGTATTTAAATTTGGATGGCCTCTTAGTCTCAGGCCTTGAGGCTGATGAATGTTAACCGGATCCTAACATGACATCCCCCATGGTGAACAAGAGCAGGCATTGTTCACGTTATGTCCAGGCCGACACTCACAGCGAGATTAAAGCACAGGTTGAAACTGAAGGCAAGAAGGAAAACAGGCACTGAAGAGCCCTGGGCCTCCTTCTTACCAGCCTGCTTTCTTTCCTCCCTCCTGCTGCTGACCTGATCACCCCCAAACACTCCTCACTGCACGGCGCTGACCCAAAAAAACAAGAGGAGAGAGAACAAGAGAAAAATTACTCCAGAGTGTACCTGCCTTTTCCCAAAACTTCTTCTCTCCCACACTTCACAAAGAATGTGTGCTTTCCTGGTATGAAGCCCAAAGCTCTTGGGCTGAGATCAGAAAGAAGGAACAGTGCCCATTCTTATGTGTAACTTTGGCTGGGATCCAGCTCTCACCAGCGTCTGGGGCAGCCAGAGACTCTGCTCCGAGAGCCAGGAGAAAGGGTTGCCCCTTCAGGCACCTGATCCGGTGCTGGGTGGTCCAGCCTTAAGGTTGAACTCTGCTTCTGACTTACACAGATCTATTCCACCATTGTTTACTGACATTTTCAGAAGTGGAAAAATTGGTCTTCAACCAATTTTCAGAGCACATTCGCGTAGCTCAGTGGAATTCAATATGACTCAATGGGAAGTGAGGGGGGAAATGAATTCTAATCTATTCAATTCAGCTAGAGGGTGATGTTTGGATGAAAAGTAATAAGTAATCCTCTGTCTAATGCAGTGTCAGAAAACACCACAGCTTCAATGTGGATATGAAGACACAGTGGGTTAACCAAAACGAAATACATAGTCTTCAGAACTGAACCTCACGGTCCAAAATGTAAAGACTGTGTGATTTTCCAACAAAAGCAAAAGCAAAGGTCATAAGGTCAGGTTCTTAGATTATTCACTATGACTCTAATAAGAACACTACTAGTAATAAATACTCATTAAGTACTTCTAATATGCCAAGCACTGTATAAAGTGCTTTAATAAGTGTTATCACATTCATAAACAGGTACCATCATTATCCCCATTTAACAGATGGGGAAACTGAGGCTTGCAGAAGTAAATAAGTGCCTAAGGTCACATACCTGAGACCAAGCCTGGGACTAACGAACTCTCAAACCTGGACTTATAGCCCCCACGCTTTCCCCTGAGTCCCAAGAAAATCAAGTTTAATGGGAGACAGCTTAGTATTAAGATGCCTGATAAGAGTATCACAGACTTTCTTTGTCCAGATAAAAGGTCCCTCGAAAGCAAACACTTAATTAAGCAGTGTGCAGATCTGGCTGGGGAAGAGGTGCACCAATTTGAATAAGGAGCCCAGGGTCTTCTGGAAAGGAAGAAACGAATTATCCAACTCTTGCTCTTCAACAAGTAGATCTGGCTGATGACCAAGGCTCAATGAAGCTAGAAAGGAATGGCGTCAACATCGCCCGGCCCAGTGGTTGTGCTTTGGAAAGTAATTACTGAGCATGGGAATGTGAACTAAAATGACCCATGACCTTGGCACCCAACATATGCAACTAATGTGCTTGAGCAGGTCACAGACGGCATCCCTGAAACCCTGAGACTGTGCAGGACTCATCTTCAATGGTGACATCATGTGGCTACAAGAGGCAATGGCAATGAGATACTGACCATATAGGACTGAGAAGCTCCAGGGTTCCTGGACAGTTAAGACTGAGGGTGGGGACGGAGAAGGCTCAAGAGGAAGCTGTTGGGCTTAATGATAATAAAGCAGGTGGGAGCCTGTGTGAAAAATGAAAGCCATGCCATCATACTTAACTCTTCAAGCTGGTGGAACAGGTCAGACCAGTAACACAAGGAAAAAGGGACTGGAGACGTTTTAGACCCTTGACTGAGTTTTAATACTTCTGCTCTAAGACTCAAATAAGCCAACGTCAGAGATAAGTCATGGTTGGGTTTAACAGCCAGATAGCATGACATTTCATGACGGTTTTGAGTAACATTCCAGGATCCTAAAGACTGATGACTGTGGAGCTGGCCCCTTGTAACCAACTGTCAGCAACACACAAAGGCAAAATGGGACTTGGAAAACACAAAAAATCACACTATTAAAAAGCCCTCATATTTATTCAACTTCACCTCACAACCCCACCCCCACCCCCAGTGTACACCGCAAACAGAAGGAGAGAGGTCTTGCAACACCCTGAGAAAACTGCATGTGGACCAGTCTCTTCCCAGAACACCTGTCTTTTCTCAAATGTAATCCATCCAATTAAAGAGAATAGGCCTTCTGAGCCAATCTTCCAATGTTATACAACTTCCTGTCCCCTACAGCTGTGACTAGGGCCTGATATCAAGGCTGTGAAGAGATTAAAAATTCTTTCTTTGAACCGTCAGCTAATTCGAGGAGGGTGTCTCTTCTGGTCCCTCCAAATCCTTGCTTAAGGCCACTGGACTCTTTTTTTCCCTTTACTCTCTGGTGGTACATCAGATATGGTGAAACCCATGTGAAATGGTGCACTACAGATTAGTAAGCACAAGTAAGCCCGTGCATACCTTGCTTATTGGGTAGTCCGTCCCTGGCCTGAGCTCACTCTGCTCTGAGAACACAGCATGCTAGGAGAGCTAGAGTAACATCTTCAGGCAACAACCTCAGCCAATGACTGGTGGGAGGTGATGTATAAATACCCCTTGAGTAGGGTAACTCTGAGGGATGTGTTCTCTATGCCCCTTGGTCGGGGCCAACTCTGAGGTGGATTCTGCACTGACTCTTAGGGACCCCTAGCAGGGTTAAGTCCTAGCTGTTCACAGTCATGACTTGCTGGATAACAGGCCCTCTATTGCTGCCTTACCTCCCATCTCACTTCCCCCACCTCCCGACCCATGCTTCCTGGGATCACCCCCAGGAAAACTACTCACACTTACATCTTTGTCTTAGGATCTACTTTTAGGGGAACCCAACCTAAGATAGCAGCACTGAACCTCCTTTAATGGTGCCCTTTCTACTGCCCTGGGATATACTTTTCTCTATTCAGTTTACTCTTTTAGTCTTCTAAGTAATTCCTCCATCTCCCTCCAGTACGAACAGAGGACCTACCTCTTACCTCTCAGAAAAAGTGGAAGCCATCATCTGACAACTGCCTTAACCAGCTCATGCCTAACATTTTGTGGGGCATGAGGCAAAATCTCATAAATGGAGGCTTTTGCCCTGCCCCTGCCCCAAACTTGTTCTCTCCCATCCCTGGAAAACCAACAGAATAAGGAGCTCATGCACACACCTGTGGACAGCCCAGATCTCACATCCAAGCTGTCTACACCCCCTGCCAGAAGCTGCCCCCTTCCCTGGCCACCCCTCAGACCACTAGTGAGGTCCACCCTCAGGAGGAGGTCTACACAGACCCCTGAAATGGACTTGGAACCATTAGGGCAGGAATTTCTGGGTGCCAGCTACTACAGTGTGTTCTACAAGGGGCTCTTGTGGGTATATTCCCTTGTCCCAGAGAGAGAGAGATGCAGCTGGGGTACAGCTAGAGCTGGGCCCTCTAAAGTGCAGGGCCTAGAGCAGCGGCCCAGTTAGCAGGATCTAAAAGTGGTACTAGTCTTAAATTCTCTCCCCAATTTAATAAACCTTTCCTCCTCGCTTCTCTCCTGTACAACTGAGGACATATCCCTCTTCCTCTCAGAGGTCAGTGCCTCTGCCTGAGTTCTCCATTTAGAGCTCAGGATCAGGGAGAGGTGGGGGATAAAGTGAAGGGCCTTGAGATCAGAAGAGCCTCGGTTTCAGTTCTGGCTCTGTCATCCGCTGACTGTAACCTCCATTTCTTTACTCGCAAAGTGGAGGCAATGGTGCTGATGTTATATTGTTTATAGAGGAAGACAGTGCCTGGAACTTGGGAAAACGGCTTTTCTAGGCCTCAGCTAATGTCTTGGACAACCAGATAAATTTGTTTTCCTCTCATCACTGGACAGTTACATAAGGTTCCCCCCGCCCCCAACCCCTGCTTCTTTTTTTAACTCGTGTTATCCATGGCAACTGAGATACTTAAGTAAAATGTCTTATCAAGGAACTAAATGTCATTATCTAGAGGAGATTTTATTTAAATCCTTTAGAAGTGTGGTCTCCAAATGGTAGATCTAACCTACCCACAGACCCAAAGCAATATTAGTTTCTTTCTTATATTTTAAGATAATTCTATTTCAAATATAACCTTTGAAGAGTCACTAATAGCAGGAGAGTACAGAAAGAACTCCCTAGAGTCAGGTATAAATGCTAAATGAGATTCAAATAACATAGTTCAATTCCCTGGACCCTATGGCCCTCCAGCCAAAACTAGTTTTCACGTATTTAAAGGGAGAAAAGTGTCAGAGGATCATGGCACACGTTCTAGACCCAAGAGAGGCCGTACAAATACAGCTCAAGGAGACCTTTCCAAGGTCTTGATTTTTTGTTTACCCAGGCTCGGCTATAACAGGAAACCCTGATGGCACAGTGGTTAAGAGCTATGGCTGCTAACCAAAAGGTCAGCAGTTCGAATCCACCAGGCGCTCCTTGGAAACTCTATGCGACAGTTCTACTTTGTCCTATAGGGTCACTAGGAGCTGGAATTGACTTGATGGCAGTGGGTTTAGGCTAGAATAGGAGCCTGGGTCACCCGATCTCCACTCATGATCAGAGTTGTGTGGTCTGGGGAAACGGGCAAGCTGGTAAAAACTAGAATATGTACTAATTGACAAAAAGTTGGTAGTCATCTGCAATTCTTGGCTACAAACTTTAGCTTTGGTTCCTACAGACAGGAGTCAAAGCAAATCCTTGGAGAAGGGGCCCGTACCATTAATCTGTAGCCTCAAAGCTGACAAACCCAGCACCCTTAGGGCTTCTCCCTTGGGTCTTACATCACCTTCTCCTGGCTCCAGCCAAAGGCAGAGGGAGCAAATTTTCTTTTCTAACTCATGGTTTTAGAATAATTGATGTTATGCTGGTCTATGAATAGCTTATTTCATCCCTTTGCTCTTTTAAAAAAATTTTTATGTATTAAAAATATATATAACAAAATATTCGCCATTTCAACTTTTTTTTAATTTTAATAATGTATTTTATTTAACCCAGTATTATCATTTCAACAGGAAAGCAATATAAAGTTATTAATGAAATGTTGCATATTTCATACTTTGTCTTTAAAATCTAGTATTTTACACTTAAGGCATATCTGACCCCATTTCCAGTGCTTAATAGTTGTATGAGGCTAGTGGCTACTGTGTTGGACAGTGCAGCCACTGAGGTTTCCCTTTCTAATGAGAAATGGCCAATAAGGTTTCCGCTTAATGTGGAAGTCGGATGTTCAGTAGCCTCCTCATCTTCCCATTGACCCAACTTAGTTCAGGATGTTGGTGCCACTATTAGCATTTTCCCACAGAACTACACTGTTTGTCATTTTTGCTTCAGTTAGGTGCATCTAGGGTCAATTTCAGTCTCTTTATTTATTATTTATATTATTGTACTTTAGATGAAGGTTTACAGAACTAACTAGCTTCTAATTAAACAGTTAGTACACATATTGTTTTGTAACACTGGTTACCAATGCCACAACATGTCAACACTCTCCCTTGTAGACCTTAGGTTCCCTGTTACCAGCTTTCTTGTCCCTTCCTGCCGTCCAGTCCCTGCCCCTGGGCTGCAGTGTCCCCCCTAGTCTCATTTTGCTTTATGGGTCTGTCCAATCCCCATCTGAAGGGTGAACCTCAGGAGTGACTTCTTTACTGAGCTAAAAGCGTGTCCGGGGGCCATACTGTCAGGGTTTCTCCAGTCTCCATCAGGCCAGTAAGTCTGGTCTTTTTTTGTGAGTTAGAATTTTGTCCTGTGTTTTTCTCCAGCTCTGTTGTGATCCCTGTCAGAGCAGTCGGTGGTGGTAGATGCGCACAGTCTAGTTGTACTGGACTCAATCTGATGGAGGCTGTGGTAGTTGTGGTCGATTAGTCCTTTGGACTAATCTTTCATTTGTGTCTTTAGTGTTCTTCATTCTCCCTTGCTCTTGACAGTGTGAGACCAGTGGAGTATCTTAGATGGCCACTCACAAGCTTTTAAGACCCCAGACGCTATTCACCAAAGTAGAATGTAGAACATTTTCTTTATAAACTATGTTATGCCAATTAGGCTAGATGTTTACCAAGACCATGGTCCCCACAGCCCTTAGCCCAGTAATTCAGTCCCTCATGGAGTCTGGATGTGTCTATGGAGCTTCCATAACCTGGCCTTGTACAAGTTGTGCTGGCTTCTTCAGTAGTGTGTACTGTCTTACCCTTCACAAAAGTTACCACTTATCTATTGTCTATTTAATGTTTTTCCACCCCTACCCCTCCCCTCCCTTGTAACCATCAAAGACTGCTTCTTTTCATGAGTTTTTATAGTAGTTGTCTCATACAATATTTGTCCTTTTGTGACTGACTTACTTCACTCAGCATAATGCCCTCCAGATTCATCCATGTTGTGAGATGCTTCGCAGATTCATCATTGTTTTTTATGGTTGCATAGTACTCCATTGTGTGCAAGTACCATAGTGTGTTTATCCATTCATCTGTTGATGGGCATCTAGGTTGTTTCCATCTTTTTGGTATTGTGAACAATGCTGCCATGAACATGGGTGTGCATATGTCTATTTGTGTGACGGCTCTTATTTCTCTAGGATATATTCCTAGGAATGGGATTGCTGGATCATATGGTATTACTATTTCTAGCTTTCTAAGGAAGCACTATATGGTTTTCCAAAATGGTTGTGCCATTCATTTCAATATTTTTTACATATATAATTCCATGACATTAATTATGTTCATCATGTCGTGCAATCATCACCCACTATCTGTTCCCAAAGTCCAATCCCTTCACTCTTACCTTCAGTCCTGGAGGGAGGACCTCTTTCTGGTGAATCTGGATGAGCGTGATAGCCACAAGCACCACAACACTCACAAGCAAGACCACCAAGGCAATGATGGCTGTAGTTCGGGAGAGGGCCTTGAACCCTAAAATGAAGACACAAGAGAGGAATGTAGGAACCGACATTGGCCTTCTCAGTAGGATCCGTGGACTGTGCCCATACTGTGTGCACAGGTCACTTCCCTGGGTTTCATGAGACCTACACTTTTAAGGCAGAGTAGCTACTGGGCTCCAATACCCATTTATTCTTCCCCCAAAGTGTAGACTAAAACAGTATTTTCAGGGACGCCTGTGTGGTACTTTTCTGGTGTCTCCCAAAGTATCTTATGTATGTTACTGATTATATTTTAGATGATTAATGATAATATTTGTTTTAATGTGGATTAGAAAATACAGGCTTTCCATTAAAGGAGATGATAAAATATTTCATTAAAAAAAAAAGTTATCATCTAGTTGATTCCGACTCACAGCATCACCATTTAAAAATAACTTCAGTTAATTAAGAAGAAATTATCCCCAAAGAGTACATACTGTACAGTACTGAGGTGATTCCATTTATTTAAAGTTCTAAAACAGGCATGTGACAGACATCAGAACAGTGGTTGCCTGTGGGTTTTGGGGAGGGGCTTTATCGGGAAGGACCGGGTAGAAACATGAGGGCAGTTTCTAGGGTGATGGAATTGCTCTATCTCTTAATAGTTGTGTAGGGGTATTTGGGTATATACATTTGTCAAAACTCATCCAACCTTCAAAAATGTTTTGGGGAAAACCTGAAAATCAAAGTAAATCAGCTCCTTAGCTACAATTTCTCCTAAGAAAAAAATTCTTATAAATTGTCCCTACGATCCTAAAAACATAGCCTTTTGGAAGACAAGAACATCCAGCTTAGGGGTACAACTTAAAACCTATGTGTTTCACCGTATATGAATTATACATAATTTTTCTAAAAGATAAAAAGACATTCAATTAAAATATTGATTAAAAAATAGTCTTGGTAGAACTATAAATATTAATAACAACAAATAAAAAACCCAAATTAGTTGCCGTTGAATTGATTCCAACTCATAGCAACCTATAGGACAGAGTCCAACTACCCCACAGGGTTTCCAGGGAGTGCCTGGTGGATTCAAACTGCCTTTGGTTAGCAGCTGAACTCTTAACCACTGTGCCACTAGGGTTTCCATAAATATTAATGGTGGCACTCAAATGACTGAACTATGATAAACACTGATTTAGTGGAAAGATTCCTGGATTCAGAGAGGGGGAGACTGACATTTGCATCTCGATTATGTCCTTCACCAGTTGGCTATTAAAATCTTAAATTAATTAAAATTAAATAAATAAAAAGTTCAGTTCCTGAGTTGCACTAGCCACATTTCAAGTGCTCAATAACCACACGTGGCTAGTGGCTACCATATTGGATGGCATAACTATAGAACATTGCCATCCTCACAGAAAGCAACGGGACAGATCCTGCCCTATTCCAGAACATTTACTCTTAGATCACCATAACCTATGGTTTACCATTTTATTATTTCTAGGAGACATGTTCCTGGAAGAAATAAAAGGCATATGTAGGCCACCATGGGAGAATTAGATTCAGCCCCAATATCTAATTGCATCACAATACCCACAGTCATGTGGTGGGTCTCAGTGGCTCACAGCAGACAACTTTTTCTGCCCCATCTGATACCCTGCAGTATAGATGTAGCTTCAGACACTTCCTGACGTCAAAGGTGGTCACTTAACACCTTAATTTGTCTACTTTGTCAGTAGGAGTGTAAACAGATGTATACAGCATCAGTGGAGGGCCATTTGTCAATATTATCAAAATTATAAATACACATACCAGCTGTTCCCACTTCTGGAAATTGATTCCACAGAACCAGCCCCATGTGTGTAAAATGACTTACATACAAGGTTACTCACTGAAGCATCATTTGTAATACCAACTGGAAGGGGCCAGTCCAACCAAAACATCACCCACCGTGCAGTTGGCCTTCGGAGCCACTCAAGGGATCCTAAATCACTTTCTGTGAGTCCAGATAAAATATGGGAACCAGCTGGGAACCAGCTTATCCACAGAGGCAATGCTTCACGTCAACTTTTAAAGAATGCATGTGTCAGTGTCAGTTATACAGGTTTAAGAGATTTTTCTCCTAACAAAACACAGTGGATAATTTGAGGTTGAATCTGCCAAGTTAAACTTGTCCTTTCGAAGGAATGTAGCCAATTGGTCCCTATGTGTGATGTTCTAGTACATGTGGTGAAATTCCAAAGTGTTTTGGGGAAAACCTGAAAATCAAAGTAAACCAGTTCCTTAGGTCAAATTTCCTTTAAAACAAAATTCTTAGAAATTGCCCCCACTATCCTAAAACACATGTCCTTTTAGAAGACAAGCATACTCAGTTTAGGGGCCCAACTACAGAACACTGGACAGTAATGGTGTGCAGGCAGTCTCCTGACCACAGCCACGCGCCTGGCCTCCTAAGACCTCAGCGCTTCAGCAGTTTTCAGGTTAAAAGTTGTAATTACCTTATGCAAACTTTTGCCCAGCAGAAAAGGTTATTGCAAAGCAAATGGACCAGACCAGGCCCCATTCATTTAGGGAGGCAATTCAGAGTTGTGCTACCATTAGCGCTAGATAAACACTGTAATTACAAGGTGCTTACCTGGAAGTGGAGACGGCAGACCTTTCATCCACAGACAGGCGGGGCCCGGCGTATACATGTGCGTGCGTGCGTGCGTGTGCGTGCGTGTGTGTGCATTCTGCACACATGACTGCATTCTTAGAAACTGCCCCTACTAATTTATAAGTGATAACAATGCTGACCCATGTGGGGAGGGGGAAGAAGGCTGCCGTAGACATTGAGCCAGCAACAACACTTGGATGTAAATGCAAGATCCGAGTCCTTTAGAATTCATCACAAAATCAAGAATATTTTAAAGCAAACCTTACACACGGCTTTGTAAGGGAAACCACAAGGGTCAAATTAACGGATTACACAAAGCAGAAAAATCATCTAAGTGAAATATGCGTGTGAATCCTTGTTTTGTGCGGGCTTTGATGAAAAGCAGTACTTTTATCCGAGGAGTGCTGGTAGTGAAACCCTGGTGAGCAACCGAGTCTCAAACCAATGAGATTCATTAAACACTCATTTGCAGGGGCCGTGGATGAAAGACCGCGGGCTGAAGCTGGAACTCTCGTGTGATTTGACAAAACCATGCCTGCTGCCTGCGGAGATATACTAACCTGTTTGCTCACAGGGTTGGCGGTTCAGCACGGTGAACATCTTTTCTCCCAGCTGCCGGCGAGAGAACAGAGAATGACAATGCCTCCTGGCCTCTGAGGCTCTAACTAAGAAGTTTAATAAACTTGCACAACGTTCAAACACCAACCCACTCCACTCTCTCTATATCAAAACCTCTTCAGAGGCCAGATGAGCCCAAACCTGCAACTTCGAAGAAAGACCTGAAGCTAGGGCGTAATTCTAGTATCTCCTCCCCAAAAGCAAGGAGGGGAAGAAAAGGTTTCTGAAACTTTAAACTGAAAAAAAAAAAAAAAAATCCAAAAATTCATCCTCTTAAATTTTGGAGGTATTTTTAGCAGGTATCTCCCCACCTCTACACACCACCCGGGGCTAGAACAAATCTTCCTCCTGTTATTAAAACATTCACGGGGCTGAAGCAAGGCTTTTTCCGCCAAGCACACCAGAAAGGGAGGTTTCTGTGTACCTCGTGAGCCCAGAGTCGCTCTTTAAAGGCCCAAGAGCAGTTATCTTTAGCTGCGGGCTAGAAATATATTGCAAGGGGGCGTCGGGCCCCTAGGGTCCAGCACGCCCAAAATCGGAGGGTGGGTAGCTATTCTGGACTGCGTCCTCACAGTGACAGGCATCTAAGCACCCAGCGCATCTTCTGGCCCGTAGAAGCGCTGGGTGAAGCCCAATCCTCCAATCCCGAGCGTGGCACGGACCACCTCCCGCCGCCCGAGGATTTGGGGCTCGCGTCCTCGGCCATCTACGGGAATCCGATTCCGTTTCCTTCCCTCCCGGCCGTCAGCCTCGCGCAGTCCACCGCTCTTTCCTCGGAGGCTCGGCGCGGGGTGCCATGCTCTCACCTGTGTGCGGCCAGTCGGGGAAGACAGTGGCGCTGCAGCAGTGGCAGCCGGCGGCCAGCGCGCAGGAGGCGTCAGCAGAGGCGCGGAGGTGGCAGGGCGGGGCGGGGGCGGCGCAGCTTGAGGCCGGGACCGCCCCTTGTCGGTATGAAGGCCAAGTACTTCTTCACCATCCCTCTTCTAGTTCCTTCTACCTTCGCCCTTAGCCCTCCGTGGAAGAGGAACAGAGGGAGAGACAACCTCATCTCGGACACCACCCCCGCCTGCTCCAAGTGGTTCACTGCCCACCCCCCACCCCCCACCCCACCCCGCTCCGTGTCCGGGCCAAATAGCACTTCACCTTCCCCTCTTCTGGTTCCCTCTACCATCACCTAAATGGAAGAGGAGGCTTCACGTGCCTGCCCAAGTGGAGGTCCACTGCCTGTCTCCCTCTTCTGTCTGCGTCAGGGCCAAGAACCTTTGGATCTCTCTTCTAGTTCCCTCCATCAGTACCCCAACCCCAAGTGGAGGGGAAGTGGGGGCAGGGCGGGGCAAGGACTGGGCACTGGGTGTGAAACGTGGGCGCTCAGGGCCTCATGGGGCCCTCAGCAGGCCGGCCCTATGCCAGGAAACAGCCCCATCTCTCCTTGGGGGTAGCGTGGAGGTGGGAAAACAATTGTAGTATTGGGGACTGAGCAGACAGACCAGCTCTTGGGGGCCAGGAGCGCAAAGTAAAGCACACAATTCCTTTTCATGTATCACAGCAAAACAGCCTTGGCCATCCCCACAGACATTCTCGCTGGATATTAAGAGCAACGCTCCCCCATCCCATTTTATATGGATGTGGTTAGGTCAAAACCGAGGACAAGCACAGTCTGGAAGAGGCCAAGTAGGAAAGACGACAAAAATGCAGCATGGGGGCAGCAGCGATCCAATGTCCCAGGAGCCTGTTACAATGAAGCTACAGGCATCCCTCTGGACCTCTGACCCCAAGGACCCTTGGGATGATCCCAGCAAGAGGGCTAATTGGGTTTCTCCCTTTATGAGGCCCCTGAATGTGGGAATGGAGAGCTGAGGCCCAGACTATGTCCCGGGCCCACCTGGTCTCTCCTAGAGATCTAGGCCCTGGCCTCCACCTGTTTCCTGTTCTGTGCAGGTGGGGGCCAAACTGCCTACCCTAAGAGGGCCTTAGGAGAGGAATGCCTCTGAGCCAGGAAGGGAGGGCCCAAACCAGTTGTGTGTGGGGGTGTGTGTGTGTGGGGGTGTGTGTGTGTGTGTTACAGGATCTGCACTGGGGGTGTCAGACATACAGGAATGCTTGTCATATTGTTGTTAGCTGCCATTGGGTTGACTCTGACTCATGACGTACTTATGTACAACATTGCCCAGTCCTGTATCATCCTCACAACTACCAGCATATTCAAGGCCATTGTTACAACCACAGTGCCAATCCATCCCACCAAGGGTCTTCTTTGCCTGAGTTTGGTGATGTAAAGGGCCAATGGCGTCCTTCAGCCATCGATCCCTTCTGATGACATGTCCACAGCAAACAAGTCAGATAATACTCTGTTGTGATCCATAAAGTTTTCATCAGCTAATTTTTGAAAGTAGTTTGCCAGGTCTTTCTTCTTAGTTTGTCTTAGTCTAGATGCTCTGCTGAAACCTGTCCACCATGGGCATCCCTGCTGGTGTTTGAAATACTGGTGGCATAGTTTCCAGCATCACAGCAACATGCCAGCTACCACAGTACAGCAAAATGACAGCGGGGTGATGGCTTGCTGGATTATAAGATTTGTTTCCTCTGAAAGCTGTAGGCCAGTGAAAGATAAGGCACATTGGCATGTCTTAGTCATCTAGTGCTGTTATAACAGAAATACCATAAGTGGATGGCTTTAACAAAGAGAAATTTGTTTCTTCACAATAAAGTAGGTTGAAAGTCCAAATTCAGGGCATCAGCTCCAGGGGAAGGCTTTCTCTCTCTGTCGGCCTTCTCATCAATGTTCTCCCGGGCTAGGAGCTTCTCCACACAGGGACCTTGTGTCCAAAGGACGCACTGCTTTCTTGGTGGTATGAGGTCCCCTACTCTCTGCTTGCTTCCCTTTCCTTTTATCTCTTGAGAGATAAAAGGTGGTACAGGCCACACCCTGGGGAAACTCCCTTTACATTGGATCAGGGTTGTGACCTAGGTAAGGGTGGTGTTACAATCCCACCCTAATCCTCTTTAACATAAAATTACAATCACAAAATGGAGGGCAACCACACAATCCTGGGAATCATGGCCTAGCCAAATTGATATACACAATTCTGGGGGGACATAATTCAATCCATGACATGGCAGATAGATAACTTTTCACCAGGGGGATCTTAAACCCATAAACAGCTGCTGACGCTGCACCCAGGCCTGAGGGGTGAATGGCTGACCTTGGAACTCCCAGTGAGCTTCCCAGAAGCTGGTGAAAGTTTCCGGGGCCTAGAAGGCCTTGAAATGCAGTTGGTGCTAGTGTCTAAAAGTAACAGAGCTCCGTACATGTCTCCAGCTTCCTTCTCTGCTTGCTCCAATCTACAGACCCCCTAAGGGTGGGCACCAACCTCACTTGAGAGCCCTGTGGTCTCCACCTCTCCTGTTATTTTTTCCAACCCTCCCTGGAAACTCTGTTCCAGACACTGACTTCCAACAGCACTTCACCATCAACCTTTCACATGTAAGAACATACACACACAGATATACACATGCACACACATACACACACACTTTCCCATCAATCTTCCACACATAAGAACAAGCACACATACATACACATGCACACTTCTGTGATTTTTTTCCTAATTAATAATACAGACTTGCCTTATTAAATATCAAAGCATACTATAAAGCTCCAGTAATTAAAACAGACTGGTTCAGGAGCAAGAATAGGCAGAGAGATCTAAAGAACAAAAGAGGCAGTCCAGTATCAGACAAATGCATATGAAATTTAGTATAGAATAAAGGGGAAGTAGAAAGAATGTATTATTCTGGTATCGAAGCTACTGGCTTACCATTTGGAAAAAAAATCCTGACTGCCCATCATACACAAAAATAGATGTTAGATGGAGTAAATGTTTGATTATAAAAACAAAACTTGGTGTTCTAAAAAAATATAGAACATTTTTATGATCCTTGGGAAGGAACTACCTCCTCTAGCATGAGATCAAAGCCAGAAGAAAAAGTCAACAAAGTTGACTCCATAAAAGTTCAACACCACTGGGGGAAGTACTTGAGAATGTGGGAGAGAAGAGTTAAAAACCATGACATATAATGAGTTCCTACAAATTTACAGAAAAATATGAATATCCGAAAGAACAATGAACAAATAACATACACTGGCCAATTTACAAAACAAATATAAATGGCCAATAAACGTGGCAAAGCTACTTAATCTTATTACTTACAAAGAATTGCCAATTAAAACCTTGATATCTTTAAATAAGATTTTTCTTAACTGATCTCCTTAGCAAAACTTAAAAAGATGTTTAGTGTTCAGTATTGGAGAAGGTGCGGGAAAACAGGCTCTCTTGAGGCTTCAGAGATGTGACGTGTTCTCTCACCTCTCTGGATGCTCCCTTCTTTCTCTTTTTTTGCAGGCTCATGCTCCTCTCCCAGGAGTTTCTCAGGACTCAGTCCTGGGCCCTTTTTTCTTCACACTCTGTGCTCTCTTCCGAGGTAATCTAATCTATGCTCATGGATGTCATTCTTTTCACAGAAGACTCTCAACTGCACATCTCCTGCTCAGGCTTCCCCTCTTGAGGCAAAGACCTAGGGAACTGTCTGTTTGACTTCTCTCGAATGTCTTAAAGACATCTCAAGTTTAGTGAGTCTCAAGCGGGACTCTGTCTTCCCCTACCAAACTATCAACTCCTCCAGTATCTCTCATCCCAGTGGATGGCACCACCACTCATACAGGTGAACAAACCGGAAACCTGAGGGTTGTCTTGGACAATCTTTCCCTCACTCCTCACAATCAGTCAGTCACTGATTCAAAACCTGTTGCTGTGGAGTCGATTTCAACTCATAGCAACCCTATAAGGACAGAGCAGAACTGCCCCCAAGTGCTTTCCAAGGAACCGCTGGTGAATTCCAATGGCCAACCTTTTGGTTAGCAGCCAAGCTCTTATCCACTATGCCTCCAGGGCTCCCATCACTGATTACTGCTGATTTTAACCTCT